CTCCCGGGTTTACGCCATTCTCCCGCCTCAGCCTCCGAGTAGCTGGGACTACAGGCGCCGCCACCTCGCCCGGCTAGTTTTTTTTTGTATTTTTAGTAGAGACGGGGTTTCACCGTGTCAGCCAGGATGGTCTCGATCTCCTGACCTCGTGATCCACCCGCCTCGGCCTCCCAAAGTGCTGGGATGACAGGCGTGAGCCACCGCGCCCGGCCACGGCTGTTTTTTTTCCCTGCGTTTTTCATATTTTGTATCAGGAACCTGCCCGTAAGAGGTTTTAAATGTGAGAAAAAGCATCCTTTAAAGATGAAAGATCTGACAGGGGATGAACCTGCCCAAAGCTCTGAAGACCCACCGGGTGGGCGGGTGGTGGTGTCGTCATACACGGCACCCCCTCGTGTGTGGGTCTGGGGGTGCGGAGCTGCTGCCTGTGGCGTGGAAGGCTGGTCCTGCGGTGTCCGAGCGGCCTGCACACAGGGGTACCTGCCACTCCCAGCCTGTCGTGGGGAGCTGGTGCCAGCCCCTCTCCCGGGCCGGTCTGCAAGCTTGGGGTTGGACACCAGGCGCTTCGCAGCTCTGACCGCGCGGCCCGACCCGCAGGATCTCATCGTGCACGTGCGGGACGTGAGCCACCCCGAGGCGGAGCTCCAGAAACGCAGCGTTCTGTCCACACTGCACAGCCTGCAGCTGCCCGCCCCGCTCCTGCACTCCATGGTGGAGGTTCACAACAAGGTGGACCTCGTGCCCGGGTGAGTGCGGCCCTGGTGCCCGCAAGCGTCTGCTTCCCCTGCATGTGCTGGAGCCGGGTGGGGAGATGCCCCGTCTCCTCCTGTGAACCGCAGCGGTGGCAGCCGAGACACAGGGAGTGGCCCCGGGCTGTACCCCGTGGGCAGCGGACTCCTGGGCAGGACCCTGATTTCGTCCGGCCGCCCTGAGGCTGAGCGGGGCCTGTGGCATCCCCACCCCGGCAGGTACAGCCCCACGGAACCGAACGCCGTGCCCGTGTCCGCCCTGCTGGGCCACGGGCTCCAGGAGCTGAAGGCTGAGCTCGATGCGGCCGTTTTGAAGGCGACCGGGAGACAGATCCTCACTCTCCGCGTGAGGCTCGCCGGGGCCCAGCTCAGGTGAGCGGCCTGCCGGGGCAGGAGACGGGACGGTGCCGTGGAAGTACCTGTCTCTGCCTCTGAGATGGGCTTTTGGTGGGCACGAAAAGAGCTGTGGGATCCCCCGAGAGCTTTAGGATGTCCAGACGCGATGAATGGGTTTGCATCACATGGATGTGTGTGACTGCATACAACAGGTGCCTAACCTGTGCTGACAGTCGAGGGATGTAGGTCTCCCTACCGATAAGCAGGCGAGCTTGAATTGGATGCAGTGGCACAGGCCTGTAACCCCAAGACATTGGGAGGCCAAGGCAGGAGGATTGCTGGAGCTGAGGAGTTTGAGGCCAGCCTGGGCAGCACAGTGAGATCCCATCTCTACACAGAATAAACAGTTACGCCAGGCGCGTAAAATCCCAACACTTCGGGAGGCTGACGCTGACGCAGGCCGATCACCCGAGGTCAGGAGTTCGAGGAACCAGCCTGGCCCACGAGGTGAAACCCCGTCTCCACTAAAAACACAAAAATTAGGCAGGCCTGGTGGCGGGCGCCTTTCGTCCCAGCTGCTCTGGAGGCCGAGGCAGGAGAGTTGCTGGAACCCAGAAGGCCGAGGTTGCAGTGAGCTGAGATTGCATCACTGCCCTGCAGCCTGGGCGACAGACGGAGACTCCGTCTCAAAAAAAAAAAATAGCAGCTGATGGAGGCGCACACCTGTCGTCCCACCTACTTGGGAGGCTGAGGTGGGAGGATGGCTTGAGCCCAGGAGGTTGAGGCTGCAGTGAGCCATGACCGCACCACTGCACTCCAGCCTGGACTACAGAGCAAGACCCCATCTTAAAAAAAAAACCAATGCAGTGGCTCACGCCTGTAATCCCAGCACTTTGGGAGGCCGAG